AGGGAGGCAGCAACTGTCTTCAATGGTCTGAAGGAACAAAGTGTTCTGCACTGCAGAAGCAACTTTCCCATCACAGATAAAAAGAACCTGCAGTGTAAGGATCCTTCCTGACAGAAAATTAACCACCAGTTGTGGATGGTGCTCCTCTCCCAGTTTCTGAAGAAGGACAATGTTTGGTGCACAGTGTCATTGCCAGGCAAACAGAAGCAACAAAAATCCAATAAAAGCTCTTTTGGGTAGTGCTGGGTGGCAGATGCCTGTTGGTTATTAGTTCTAAGTGAAGATTTTGGTTTCCTGCCTTCCAGAAGTATTTTGAAACACAGCTCTTCTTTCAAATGTGTTTTGTGATCTTCAGGGTATGTCCAAGAGACACATGCTGTGCCTGTTCCATCTGTGTAATTGATGTAATTGTAGTAACTAATTAGAATCCTAAGTCCAGAGAAACAGTGAAGTCATCCAGTATTTTTTATCAGCAAGATGTTGTGGCATATTCTTGCAGCTTTGTGACCTTACTGATTTGTTTGATAGGGTGTGTTTGTGCTGCCTGTGCTGTTGATGTTTGCAGCACGAGCATTTCAGATCCCATTAAGCTGCTGGAAATTCCTGTGTGGTACTGGGATTAACACCCTAGAAAACTCTTTGGGTGACTGACTTTGGAGGGGCCTGAGCAGTCTCTGGCTTAGTGATGGTTCCTGTAGTGCAGATTCTCAGAAGCAGAATATGCCTCGTTATGAGGTATTATTTGTTTGCCCTGGGACTTTTCTGAACTCCTTATTGGACTCAAAATCCCCCATGGATAGATTTTCTGATGTGGAACCTTAGCTTCTAAAATGGGTCGGAAAGCCACCAGGAAAGGCTTCCTTTGGTGCTACTGTGCTTCAAATCCTGGTGTGGGGTTGATCTTGTGTAGGAATTTTGTTAATGACTGTAACAGAAAAAAGGAAAGTGCTGAAAATTGCTGCTGATGACACAAAGTGTTGCTAGTACAGGGGAGGATCTGAATATCTCCCAGTAAAATCCACGTGACATAAAAGATGGGACTAACAACAAGGGCTAAAATTTAGTGCAGAGTGAAAGATCATGCAGATGAGGACTTAATAACAAAACCTGCTATGATCTGGGAGACTGTTAATTGTATGAAGGGGATGTCACACAACTAATGTGTGACCAAGCAAGAATAAAGCATCCTAATCTTTGCACATGGTACCTATGAGAAAATGAAATGACACTAAAGAAGCTCAAAAGATGAGGAGGGGTATGAAGATACTGATTCTGTAAAGCAAAACTAGATGTTCATGGTGTGTTTAGTCCATAAATGGTGGTGGAATGGGAAAATTCAGTCTTTCATGCCCAAGTCAGAGGAGAATTAAGCACCAAAGGAGAGGAATACTTAGCTGAGGATTGAGATTGCTGGTGCAAGAAGAATTTGATAGAAATTGGCACAAATGAAATGGCAGGTTGTAGCTGACACTGCTGTCAGGTTCTGGAAAAGTCTGGTAATATAGGATGGGTAAGCATGAAAAACAAGTGGCTTTAAAGATTAAGCTTGATAAGTTCATAAAACATCTAATGGCTTAATGTTCTTTGAGGGGAAAAACTGCTGGAGTTTCCAGAGAAGAGCTTACTTTGATTTGCCTGTAAAAAGCAGAGAGACACAATTGTCTCAGCAGTCTCAGTACTGTCTTTTATTCCCCTGAGTTTTAAAGGAAAAGATTGCTCAGAATTGATACGTTAGGGCAATCCAAAGAGGGCTTTTTCTTTTTACAGGAATGCTGTTCAAAATTCGTGACATTGAAGGGGAAAAGAGAGGAAAGAAAAAGAAAAACCCTAGAGAAGAGTTTAGTCAGGTTTCTGTGTTCAAGTACATTTATCTACTATCTGTTTGCATCTTACCTAACATACTTTTCTTCTTCCCAACACTGACAAATTCACTAGCAGCATGAAATAGATAGTGAAGCTCATCTGCCTTTTGGCTGAATAAAAAACCTCAAAGTCTCCTTGAAGGAATCTGTTTACTGGTGGGTAAAAACAGCAAACCACCTGACTTTCTTTTTTCGTCCTCTCAGCTGCTTAACTGCAGAAGGTAGGTGATGTGCTATTGTCTGTCAGTCTTGGTGAGTCAATACTAGGAAGCAGTGTGTTTTTCTTTGCATTGTATTGGGAGCTTGACAAAGGATCTTTGAAATGTAAATGGGCTGAGGGGGTGTGCTGGTGCAATCGATACCTTCTGTAGGAGAAGGTGTCAAGCTGCAGGAAACAGTTTAACAGGGCAAATATTAGAAACTGGAGCCTGCCCATAGAGTGGGCACACGGTGAATTAGGGAGTGATACACATTAATCAAGGAGCAGATCATGCCTAGGAAAATATTTGCATAATTGTAGTGAGAGAGGCTCTAGAGATTTCCAGTTATGACACAACCTAATATGTTTGAAATGGAAGAAATTGGACATTTTGGTATTTTGCTGTCTGCCTGGACAAGAGAGCACAGGCAGCACATGAAGGTTTTGCTCTAACAGGATGATGTTTCCTGCCTGCCATGGATGTATTTAAAAAGGAGCATAAGGTGCTTACAAGCTACCTGCATGTTGCTATACCCTTAACCAAGATTTATTTGCTTCCAAATAAAGTTTAGAATATTCAATATATTTAATATATTCAGTTAGAATAGAAAATAACTTCAGATGTTCATGGTTCAGTGTAAAAAAAAAAGAAAGATTAAAAATGGTGAGATGGAAACTGAAGAAGGTCCCACCCACTGAGGAGAATGAAGTAAATACCTGCAGTTTTCTTGCTGAGAAGAAAATCAGCCCAGACTTCAGGGGTAAAGTGTGGCTGGAGAATAAGCATATCTGAAGAGACAGCACTAAAGGAAATCTTTGGAAATAGCAGAAATCATCTTTGGTGTGGGTTGTGACTTATCTCTCAGAGATTTCAGCTTTTTTCTCCAGCTTCATTAATTCGTACATGCTTTCTCCCTAAAGCTTCTTGCTATTGGTAAACTGGAATAAACACAGGGGGGACAAAAAGTCTTTTTCTTATTTATATGTGTCACAGGTGTAGGTCTGTTAGTGCTTTGTGTCTCCAAAGAGTCCTGGAAGACAACTGTAGGATATATATGCAGAATTTCCACAATAAAAGCTACCTCAAATAAAACCTATGATTTTTGACACAGAGCAAACACAGAAATGCTCTTTGTCTCTGAATCCTTCCCCTTTTGCTGCAGGACTAAATGAACCTGAGACCTCAGCTACACACACCTCCTTGTCCCAGACAAGCCCTAGGCAGCAGTTGGCTCACTTGTACCAGGAATCCTGCTAGTAATTGGGGTTCAGCATCCCCAGTGCTTTCTGCTGCTCCTTGCTCTGCTCTTCTGCCTGCACCTTTCCTCTGCATGGCCGTGTGCCAGGTGGAAGGGCATCACTCTCTGTATGGCACCACCTGATGTTCACGAAGCACTGACCTCCAAAAGCAAAGCTACGTGGCCTGGATTGGAGAGTCCTCATTGTTGGGGGGGTTAATGACACTTGTGTAGGGTGCTGTGAGGCTGGGAGCTGAGCTGCCCAAACACACATGATTGGTGGAATGCTCTGAAACGTGTTGCAGCATCCAGCTGGAGGGTGGCACAAAGGTGAGATCCTGAAGCTCCTGGTGACCAGGGAGTGCTATCTGCCACCAGAGTGGGGCAAAAACTACAGCAGGTGATGGTGCAGTTAAAAGGCCTTCAGCAGGCTCTTTCCTTATCACCCTCTGCGTTCCCTTGATGTTCTACCTTAGACCCAGTGCATGTTATGAATTTGCCCAGGCTTTGCTGCGAGACAGGGAGGTTCCTAGGACCCCAGAAGTGACCAGTCCAGCAGGGGATCTCTGAGCCTGCCCCGTGCAAGTGGTCACCACCAAGGTAAAGGCAAAGCCTGGCCCCTTGGCATTCACATACTGGCTGTAGCAGTGTTTCTGCCACGGCTTTTGAGCTCCCTGGGTCCAGCTTATTTGGTTGGGGTTTGGAAGGGTGCCTTGTAGGCCTTGGGAGACCTCAGGGTCCCCTCTGCGGCCAGCCTGGCACCTTCCCAGGCTGATGGAGAGACACCAGTGTTTTAAGGGCACCATCTGCTGGCTAATGGGAGCAAGACGAGGCAGTGATTTGTTAGTGTACCTCTGTGCACTACAAAGTGCTGGAGCCACCTTCAATCAACAGGCAAGGGTTGGAGAGCAAGTAGGGGAAGCTGGAGTGACACTGGATGGGGGTTTTAAATAAAGCCAAATTAAACTGACAACCTCAAAGCTCGGCAGAATAGTTAAATTTAATCAAAAGTATTTTCTGGCTTCAAAAAGTCCATTGTAGTTTAGTTGATGTTATCTTGGTAGGAACCTATGAGTCACAGTTCTGGTCATATTTTACATCCTTTTGTGGGATTTCTTAGCTTGGTCTTGTTTCTAGAAAAGAAGCAAAGAATTGGCCAAGTTTGTGTGCTCTTATAATATGCTGTCATCCCTGTGTGCCCATCAATGCTTTCCCTCTTGATTATTCTAGCTACTAAAAATAAGAAGCCATGGCTGGTAATTCTTCTCCTTGATAACTCACCTCTTTTTTCCATTGTAGTTTTAACATTGAGAGAACCCCAAAGAACCCCTTAAAGTACTCATTAATGCAAATGGGAAAAGTGATACTTGATTTAGGACTTGGAAAAAAGTCTGATATAAAATAGAATTTGTAAGGGTGACTGTGATCATGTATTACTGCTGATGGCTGGTGCTTGAATGTGGAGTAGTTATCCAATTAGATTGTCATGTGGGACAAGACAACGTGTCTGTGCTGTGCCCTCCCAAACTGAACCAGACAGACATGCAAAGTAATATATTAGGTGGCTTAAAAAAAGTATTGTATATCTATGTTAACTGCTGTTACTGTGAATAGTCTTCTCTCCCTTATATGCATGAGACTGCTGTTATTATTAATGTGACATTTAAATGCCTTTTATTTTTCTCTCTTTTCTTCTTTCAGTTGCAAACGAGACAGGTGACAAAAATGCACGACCACTATCACGATTTGCCCGTGAGTAGCCTTTGGTTTTAATTTTAACCAGTTGATTTTTGGTTCTACTGTATGAATAAGCACGTTTAATCAGTTGTTTCCTCCCATACTATGTCTGCCTGTTACTGGAATAGTCTTCTTTCCCTTATATGCATGAGAACTGCTGTTATTATTAATCTTAATGTGACATTTAAATGCCTTTTATTTCTCTCTCTTTTCTTCTTTCAGTTGCAAACGAGACAGGTGACAAAAATGCACGACCACTATCACGATTTGCCCGTGAGTAGCCTTTGGTTTTAATTTTAACCAGTTGATTTTTGGTTCTACTGTATGAATAAGCACGTTTAATCAGTTGTTTCCTCCCATACTATGTCTGCCCTGTTGTTACAATTCATTTACAGGACTAAACTGAGGAATTGAAGTTCTTAGTTGGAAAAGTCGCTTACAGAACTTCAGACTTTTTGAACAGTTGATGCAAATTTAGGAGAATGGAAAGCTTTGTGCCCTTACTAGTGTTTCATCAAAAAAGGTTGTTACAATATGAGTGTCACAAAGCCAGCTGAGGTTGACTGCAGTGGCTACAAAGTGATTTGGGTCAAGATTTAGAAAAAATGTGAAAACTGTGGTTAAACCTTGCTGGTAACTCCTCCATCACCTTTTGCTTCTCACATCAAGGTTAGGAACTAAAGATGTGGTTTGGGATTTGAATTAAGTGACCCAAATTTGAACAAAACAAAGGGATGCATCTGGTTACGTAGCACTGTCTGACCAGGACTTTGACCATATGAATTATTACACAGATGACAAAATATGTGGGAGTGAAAAGGAGGATAAGAAATCCTATTCATAATGACTGCAGTTTCATGATGATTTAGCATGGAAAAATCCCCTTCTCATGGTCAAAAGGGAGCATTTGCCATCATCATGTGTGGTGCAGGTCAGAACATCAAAATAATTTACACGTGTGGTGTGGTATTTCAGACAGTCACAGGATGGCACTCTGAGCATGCCATACCTCACTCAGGTGGCTGAGATCCTTCAGGGAAAAGGAACCTACCTGGGTATGAAATCTGTTGTGTGTAGTGACTTACAAGGTGATGGAGCAGATTGAACAGGACTGAGAGGAAATTGTACTGGCAGTCCATCTTCCTGGTTTTAGGGTTTATTTTCCTTTATATTGTGGACGTTGAAGCTTCAAAAAGAGGCTGTACTCATCAGTCCTGCCTGGTTCAACCCTGGAAGTGAACACAGCAAAAGAGATCACAGAGGAGAGAGTTGTAAATGGAAATGCAACTGTTTCAATGTTCTTTATTGTTCTGCTTTTTGTCCATTATGGTTCCTGGATACTAGGTACAGAGTTGGATGAGTTCAGCCAAAGAACTGTTTATTCCTGGATATTTGGGTTACAAGGACTTCATGCTGTAGTATTGCCTGACAAGTAGGTCAGGCATAGCCATAGAAACCTAGAATGGCTGAGGCTGGAAGGGACCCTAGAGATCATCTAATCCAACCTTCCTGCCATGGGCAGGGATGCTTCTCAACTAGACTGGGTTGCCCAAGGCCTCATCCAGCCTGGCCTGGAACACCTCCAGGGAGGGGCATCCACAGCTTCTCTGGGTAATCTAGTCCAGAGTCTCACCACCCTTGTACTGAAGAACTTCTTCCTGAAATCTAGTCTAAACCTACTCTTCTTCAGTTTAAAACCATTTCCCCTCATCCTGTTGCTGAAAAGTCCCTCTCCAGCCTTCCTGTACCCTGTTTCTGGGCATTCTTGTGAAAAGTCCCTCTCCAGCCTTCCTGTAGGTTCCCGTCAGATATTGGAAGGCAGCTCTAAGGTCTCCCCAGAGTCTTCTCCAGGCTGAACAGTCCCAGTGCCCTCAGCCTATCCTCATAGCAGAGATGCTCCAGCCCCTGGATCATCTGTGGCCCTCCTCTGGACTCGTTCCAACAGATCTGTGTCCCTTTGATAATGTCCAGACGTTTGGAGCTGCAATGGCATTTCAGTTCTGACATTCATAAGAACTTGATTTTCAGTGAATGTGTGCAGGGTGCAGGTCTGAGACCCAGAAACAGTCTCCCTCCTTGGAGGCTTTTAATACCCATCTGGATGAGTTCCTGTGTGACCTGCCCTAGACTAGATGGTCCTGCTCTGGCAGGGGGGTTGGACTCGATGGTCTCCAGAGGTCCCTTCCAAGCCCTGACATTCTGTGAGGTTCTGTTCCTGCTCTCAGCCAGGCCTTGTTGCAGAGTTGGGGCTGGCTGACATTCCATGGAGGAGAGCAGACTGATGGGTGGCTGTCAGCTGAGTGAAAGGGCAGGGTACCCCCTTACAAGGCCTCATCATATGAGCCAGTGCTGCATGGGATTAAGGGTGGAGGTGAGATCAAGGCCATGGGCTATTTGACAGTAACAGAAATACAACGCAGAGAGGGACACTTAGATAAGCCTGGTTGGGAACTAGTCACAGAGACATAATGTGGGGATGAAGGGAGATAATTCAAAGTGTAAATCAGTCCTTCACTGTTAGGAGTTAAATTTAGTGATGTGGGAGTCAGATTGAGGATTTAGTGATCCAGCTAGCTTCTCATGGGGTGTCATTCATATCTTTAATAAGGTGACAACTCGGTGGGAATGGGAAGGAAAATTGGAATGGAAACTGTGCTATGGAAAGGAGGGAAATGTCTGAAGCATGTTCTGTGCTAATGTGAGTTAAACTGCTGATGCATAAATTTACACTGGGAGTACTATAACCTGCTCTGCCATGCCCTGTTTCATTGGGCAAACAATGGAGTGCAGGTCAAACACCCACAACCATCCTGGCTGAACAGCAGAACAACCTGCAGCTGGGGCAATGGGAGTGATAGCTGTGTGCTTCTCAGTGCTTGCAGGGTAACAGCATTTCCAGGCTATAGGAAAGTATGTGAACCCACAGATTCTTTAAGCAGAGTTCTGCTTTTTAATTTACAACACCTAAACCTATTTTGCTTTTGCCTCTAGCTCAGCTATCGTTGTCTTTGACAGGGTGTGATAGAATGAGGGGGAAGCATTTTTGCAGAGGTTTACTCTTATTCAGAAGGATTTGAAATTGAAACTGAGTTAAGTGTTATTCATTCCAATGCTAGGGCTATCCAATCTCCTGTCCTCTTCAATGTCAAATTCCAGGCCATTTAGGAAACTGAATTTAAGAGTTTTCTACTCCCTTTAGCAGCAGTTAGGGTGCCTGGTATCTCACTGTCATCTTGCTACAAGTACCCCTGTGCCATCAGTCTCTGTTAACCTGTCACTTGGCTTTCCCTGGTACTGCAAACACCAGACTACTTGTCTCTACTTAGTGCAGGAAAAGCACGTGTCTTTTTTTCTGGGCCATAGAAATATCCCATTTGTCATAATTATTATTTTTTTTTCATTTTGCATGTTGATTAAAAGCCCCTGGAGAATGACTCCCAGCAGAGCTGGTGCATCTTGTTGCTTTGGAATCCAGTAAGATTAATGCTTGCTCTGGGAAATCTCTTAACTGAAATAAGCAGTGTTTCAGTACTTAACTGCTCTCCTTGGGATCTGCAAACTCACCTATGTATACCCTATGATGCTTCAAAGTACAAATGTGGCACAGGTGTTCAGTGTGGGAATGTCACTGGGATTTTCAGAAGCACCTGATTTATTCAGAAGCCACTTGGAAGACTTTGAAAATATGAAACAGACACTTAAATTTTATGAAATGTAAGTCATATATTCTGTTCTCCAAAGGTGTGGAGAAGATCTGACTGAAGAATGCTAATTTACTTTGTCAGTGTAACTAGAATTACAGATGAGGATGTGTTCTCTGAACGACAAGCAAGAGCCACCTGGTGATATTTCTAAATAAATGTAAAAACATCACCTATAGAGATATTTTGGCATTTGAACGTCTGCTTGAAGTTTCAGCAGAAAAGAAATGTTCTCTGATACTAGTCCTTCAGTGAAATCTTTAATCCTTGACCACCTTTAAGTTTAATCTAAGGAATTAGATGGTTAAAACTGTATTGTTTTGGTACTTTGTTTTTTGGTTAGTTATTCAGCTTAAAATATTGCCACATCAACACGTGCTAAGCTATTATCTAGCTATGAGGAGAGGATGAGTTTTGCTGACACTTGAAAACCCCATGTTCTGTAATCAAACCTTCTCATGGAAAGCATTACAGTCTTGGATTTGGAATGACCTGAGCTTGAGTGCTTGTTACCACTTGGAGCTTTATTTCAGGTGTTCAGGCTTAGTCCCAAACTGTGGTGCTCCAAACCTGTAACAGAGGATCTTTTTTTTTCTCTAGACTGCTGAGAACAGTAGGCCAGGAATTTATTTTCCTTCTCACTCTCTGCTTTTCCAGGGTCTAAATCACAAAACTGCTTATGGAACACCATTATTGGTGGGCTGACTGGTGGCAACCTCAAGGAAAGGCCAAAGCCTACCATCATCAGTGACCCTAGACCTCCTGAAGAAATCCTGGCGGATGAACTGCCACCAGTGGACAGTCCTGAGGTTTTTTTCTGTAGACTGCTGAGAGACTGAACAGTAGGCCCAGGAATTTATTTTCCTTCTCACTCTCTGCTTTTCCAGGGTCTAAATCACAAAACTGCTTATGGAACACCATTATTGGTGGGCTGACTGGTGGCAACCTCAAGGAAAGGCCAAAGCCTACCATCATCAGTGACCCTAGACCTCCTGAAGAAATCCTGGCGGATGAACTGCCACCAGTGGACAGTCCTGAGGCGCTGGTGAAAACGTCTTTCAGGTCTGATGGATGTGAATTTACTCTGTCTGTCCTTGAGAGGGTGTGTCACTCAGGACAGGGTGTCTTTTGAAGATTAAGCCTGCAGTGTGGGCTTGGTGAAAGAAATTGATACTGAGGGATTCTGTGATGCTTTGCATCTTTGTACTGAACAAGAGTGAAAAGAGAGGTCCAGAAGTGATACTGACTGGCCTCATCTTTCCCTTCTCAAACCTTGTTAGCCTCCAGAAAAGATTATGGACTAGACATAAACACTAACTAGTCAAAACGGTTGACAAAGTCAGCTCATTACATGGAAATGTCTTTGAAGGTTGGTCTTTTTTCATTTGAAAGTGGTTTAGTGATGAAGCTGTGCATTTGAGGTCAGATGATTTGCTTTCTTGATGCCAGGAGGAGCTAAACCTTGCTCTGTGGATGTGATGTCTTGAGGACTGCCTAGCATTAATTTCTTTTGTCAAGGAGAAAGCTTGTGGCCGGGGGCTCGCAAGCAAGGGATTGCTGCTGTTGTAAAGGGTGTGATCTGTCTGTTGCTGAGTTTTCCTCTCTTTTATTTGACCATGTGGACGTACAGTTATCAGGTATTTCTTGGAGGCATGCTTTCTGAAAATAATTTTCTCAAAATGAGGTAAAATAGAGAAGCTGTGTTCACGCAGCGGATCTTTGACCAGAATGTGGAAGTTGATGTGCCCAGAAAAAGCAAAGTGAGTGTCAGAATTGATTTTTCCAAGTGTTTGCTGAGCTTTTTTGTTGTCCTTGTCACTGCTGAAAAAATATGCTCTACTTTGCTTTTGTATTAAACACGTGTGCAAGCATATAATGGTTTTTGCTCTGGATAAATTTGACTGACTACAGTGGTTTTGATTATACCTCAGTCTCTTGAACTTACTGCAGTTTTCACATAGTCATTACTTAGAAGGTACTTATTTAAGTCATTATATTAGGTAGTAATTTCAGCTATCTTATTTATACTGCTTGACATTTAACAACATATTACCATAAAGTAAGTTTATGTCAGTCTATATAAATAAATGGAATTCCATAGCACATTTTCATTCTTTAATATTTACATGGAATTGATTCAAGACAAGTGTTTCAGAACCTGGATTATTCTTCTGTGATGACCTCAGGTATTTAATGGCTTTTAAATACTTTTCGTCTCTGACAGTTAAAATCTATAATTTCAAGAGATCCAACTCTTTTTCAGCTTTTACTTCTAATAACTAATTCTGGATAGCAGCAGTTCTTTACATTGCCATCATCAAGATAATTTCAACCGTTTTATATGACAAAATAATGTCAACAGCATTTTGGATGGTATGATTTAATTATGTGTGTAGGGGTGACACTTGGAAGAAGTGAGCTTGTATATAGCATAAAAAGGACCGATGAGTTGGAAAGTGTAATTTAGCAAAACAGTTTTGCTAATGCAATTTAAATGGGTTTATCAACATTACAGAACCTTTGGATTTCAACAGAATAGTAATTACTGTACAATGTGGCATTCTGGGGGGTCTTTATAGATGGAAATCCAAACAAATTGTTGTTAGAGAATAAATGGTAGCTGTAGTTTTATAAAGAAAGGAAGCCCCATGTGCATTTAAGAGCTATGCAGAGGGTGGAAGATAAGAGTATGTTGCAATTACTGTCTAAAGACACAGGAAAATAAACACTGTGGTGTTTTTATTGGTTTGGGATCTTGTTGATACTGTGGTGCTAGCTGGAGCTTAGGAGGCAGTAGGATCTTTTGTACAGTGGGTCACATGTTCGATTCATCGGGGTCTTCTGTGGGTCGTGGCCTCCAAGTGCTTCCTTGACAGAGTTTGACTGGTGTGTCTGAGTGCTGGTGATGGCCTGGCAACGTGGCTGTTCTTGGCCACTAGGCACTAGAAGATCTTGCTACCCTGTTGCTAAGCTTGTATGGATGAATTTTACAGAGAGAAGAACCAGACCTTGTTTTCAAATGTGACGGCTACAAGCTGTAAAATGCAGCAGCTCTCTTACTACTTGTGATTCACTGCTGTTAGAGCAGTCTGTGGCAATACTACCCCTTTCATGCACAGTGGAAAAGAAAATGTCTCTCCAGTGTCAAATGAGTCACACTTCCCTGTGATTGCCTCTCTCGTTACGTGACTACGTATGGCGGCGTGAAATCCCAGTTGCCACCTCTTGTCTTAGATCTTGTTTTCTCCTGTGCAGTACTTATTGTTCTGTAGCTTGGAAAATAAGGAAAAGATCTATATTTGATTTTGTTCAGCGTCTAGATATGAACTTGAGACACATTTAAATGTAAAAGGAGGAATGTGGTTATTTCAATCACTTCAGTACTTTTCCTGCAGTAATAATCCATCTTTAAGAAGTAAATAAAAAAAACCAGTAGAAACCAAGCCTCTGCTGGGCTCCAGCCCCAAACCAGGGGCTGCAATCAGTTGTTTTTTGAATAGCTGTTGGTAGATCAGCATCCAAGGATGTCCCCAAACCAGGACATTGTCACAACACCATGTGCTGGGAGTCAGCACACAAGCCTCGGTCATGTGGGTTGAGGTGGCATCAATGGGAATGAGGGGTATGAGCCTTCCTTCCCCCTGCCTGGCCTGGCTCATGGCAAGAGCCCATCCCCAGTCAGATGGTGCAGAGGGACCTGCAGGACTCCTCCTTTACCACCTCACATGTTTTTACAGTCTCTGGGGAGCACCCAAGCTCGGCTGTAGCTACCTGAACTAGTGTGAGAGGTTGGAAAAGTGGAGACAGAGGTGATGTGTGGGAGAGCTGTGACCATAACTGTAGAAAAACAGAAGTTGAGGGCTAGTTGTGGGGTAGAATAAAGCCTTTCCTCCCTCCCCTCAGTATTTGTTCATGGCCTTTTTAATTTAGATTTTCTTCTTGTGTTTTACAAAACACAGAAGTTGAGAGATGAGTCTCATTTAAAAGAGACTTGTGCAAGGCTGGAAAGGCAAAAGACATTTTCTCATTGGTTTTTATACCCATCTGCAGAAGATGCAGGCCTCACTAACCATTGAAATGTAAGGAGTCTGCCTCCCTGAGAACCACCCTTCCCAACATCTTTCTCAATCTAGACTTATTATAAGGCACTTTACTTGCATTATTCATAAATCCATCTATGTTCTATTCAAACCTGTTGCTTATTCCTGTTATTTATTGCTACTCATTACGAGGAATAAGAAGTGAAAAGTGTTCTGTTCATTAAGGAAATGGCTCCCACATCATTTGTCTCTCTTCCCTCTTCTTTTAATTTTGCCTCCCTCCTAAGTGCATGTTATGCTTTGTGAGAGCAATGCATTTATTTCCTGGTAGATTGAGATTTATGAGTCAGAGGGGGAATGATCAGAGGAGAAAGATTTATACCAGTTACTGTTCAAAGGCTGCATTCTCTCTCTGTTCACCTGTATCCACATGGGTTCAGGAGGAAGGTGTTTTTTCAGGCAGTTGAAAGAGAAATGGACTTCTCCCACTTTTTTTTTTTTTTTGATATCACAGTCTTCTTGTTCTTCATAGGCTAGATGTATTATTGATCAGAAACAAAGGCGGCGGGTCTGTCTCTGCGAATTTCAGACACATCAAAAGACCCAAGCTGAGAAATTTAGATGGACTGTGGGTGTCCTAGCAGAGCTGTGCCTTTGAAAGGCAGGGAACAAACCCACTTCTAGGATGAGAATCAGAGTTTGAGCTGAAGCTCCATGGATAAACAAAATCCTGGTACTATGGAGGTCCTGCTTTGAGGACGGACCAATGCCTGTCCTTAACCACACTTATATTGTACTTATGGGCATATTTTAAACCCCAAATGTGGTGGACTTGTACAACCACATGAGCCTCACATGTCTGTGGCTCTCCTGTGGGTTTATGAGGCTGTTCCTCCAGCCTGTAGACTGCACATGAAGGACACTGGGGAGGAAGGGAGGAGATGTGGGCTCTGGAACCGGTTTTTATTGTCCTGGCAGTCTGTGTATGTCCTGTGGGCCACAAGTTGCTCATCCCATTACTAAATTAAGACTGTCATGGTATATATTTCATTCCCAATGAAAAAATGGGATAGAGACTTTCTTACTCTTGGCAGTCAGAGGGACCGTAACGAGATGGAATAAAAGTCTTTGACTAATCAGTTGCTGGAGCTTTATCTTGAGTTCTTTAATTTGAGTAAGCAATGAACATTAAGAAGACAATAAAAGAAAATTCCCATACAGTTTCATCTGCTTTGAAATGGTGGTGAAGTGGTATGTTATATTGTGATGTTATCCTGAAGGATGTGGTAAAATATTCTCCAGATCCAATCCAATCAGGGACAGGTTTGGTTTGGTTTTGAGACCACAAAACCTGTAAGTAAGAGCTCAGGAGTATTTTGAAATGAAGAGCAACGCTGGCAATCACGAAATTGCTCACAATAATCTTCAGGCTGATGGATATCTTCAGATAGCCATCCATCTTAATCTTCACTAATGTCCTCCATTTCTTCTTAATGTGGAGAGCTTTGAAGGAGGAAGAAAAAGGGATGCTTAGCTGCAATTAATGATGACAGTCAGATCTGGAGAGAAAACTGGATTCTGTTTTGGGAAAATACTGGCCTTTTATGCATTGAAGTACAAATTTGATTATTTTTTTTTTTAATGAAACCCAAGAGAGAACCTACCCTAAACTTTCAGCCAGGACACTGGAAATCCCTATAGCTGTTGCAGGTGTCATCCAATCCAGTGGGTTGAATTGTTGATTCCCTTGGGAATGCCATTAATACCAGGCCATGGGTTGGCTCAGAGTCACCTGTTTGCAACCCCTGCTCTGTGTATCACTCAGGTTTTGACTCTGAGCCTTCTAATAAAGGTTTTGCCCAATTTGCCTCCCCATGCAAAATGATTTTGGTAACTGGCATGTTTTGCTGGAAATTCTTTCACCAGAAATTCACAGCCCAGCCTACCAGTGACTTTGCAGGAATATAGCAACATGTAGGTAAGTGAAGCTGCTGTGAACTGTCAACACCCCTTACCCACATA